AGTCCCATGATCCTTTAAGTAGGAGATCCAGCAGTCCAGGGCACACCAAACCACCAGCGCCGCGCAGAGGACGCGCGAGGCGCAAGAGCCGGGAGGCTCGGCCAAGACCTGAGCGGAGCTTAGCGGGCTCGGGTTTAGGGGTTTAGGGTTTAGGGTTTAGGGGTCTAGGGTTTAGGGGTTTAGGGTTTTGGGTTTTGGGTTTTTGTTGGTTTTGGGTCTAGGGTTTAGGGTTTAGGGGTTTAGGGTTTAGGGGTTTAGGGTTTAGGGTGGACCTGCAAGTGAGCATGCATTGGTCTGTATTTAAAGAAACATGTTCGGGCAGTTTGCCTGTATGTCAAGCTTGATTCGCTGCGCCCTTAGGCTCATGCATAGCATGCGTGTTTCTTGCAAACACATGTCCAGTCAACAACAAATATAGACAGATGAGCTGAAATGCTCACTTACTCTATTCGGTTGCTTAACTATGTTATGCATCTTGTTGGTATGCATTTAAATTTGTCTCCATGATCCGGTACACAACACTGTATGCTACTGAGGTTCTTCATTCCTACAAGGACTGAAACATCATGGTCCTAACCCTCGGCTTCGCACCAGTGGGAAGAAGGCGCAGCAAGTCAGCTGTATGTGGCTCGCCTGTGCCATCGAAAGCACACAGGGCGGTGGAATGAGGGGTCGTAGGGCGGTAGGGTCTAGGGTGGGCTCAGGTGGGTTTAGGGTTCGGGTTTTGGGTAGGCAAAAGGCTCTGCAGCCGTGTTGCGTAGTCCCATGGAAGCCAGATCCTTGACACTTGACATGCTAAAGCGGACGGATCAAGCAGAGACTAGGCATCCTCCTCCTTTCTCTATCATGCAGGATGGCAAGGAATTCACGGCACTGGCATATCAAACACTCTGTTTCCACATTCATGCATGTTTTCGTCGGCTTATCTGCAGTTCTAGAACCTTGAATAGTCATTCAGCCTCGAGAACATGCATCTGTAGAAACATGTGCGGCAGCAAAGGACGAGGTTCTCGTCTGGCTGAAGCGCTCGCTCGCAGTCGCGGCCCTTGAGGTTGGAGCCCTGGAGCCCCGTGCGGATCAAGAAGATCCCCTGGATCAAGGGCTGGCCGGACTCTGCTCTGCATGCTGCGTGTTCTTAGCACAAATGTTGACGTACATTATACTATACATGTTCTACTTGCTAGGCGTCTTATTCAAGACGAAGATGCTAGCACGACTGTGCTAAACAGTGTTGTTGCTGCCATTATCAAGACGTATCAAGACGTGGTGCTACCGTTCTGCTATCACTGCAGATATTCAATATGTTGTCATTACCGTCCTGCCAGTTGCAACCATGGTAACAATGTGCGCTGAAGAGCTCCTGTTTGTGCCTACGACATGTCGCTGCTTCTGTCTGCCGACCATTGTTATTCAGTCTTACCATACTGTATGTTATGTTCATACCAACATCCAAATTATGCGCTGAGATGCGCTGAGTAATGAAAGGAAGCGCGCTGGTGTTACATGGTGTTACTCTGCACGATGTGCGGTTGTGCACGACAGAAGCACCGGCCTGCCAAAGGGTAAGGGGAACGAAGCAGAAGGAGAAGATGCACGACGAAAAGGTTCCAGTCAGAAACATCTTCAGCACCTGGGCATTCGGATGGGTCAGCAAAGGTAGGAACATAAAACACATCATGTTTGTATCTTTTTGTAAAGTAAGTGTCGGACGGCATCTGCCAGCGAGGCTTCACGAGAAAGCTCAGCAGATCGTGCCAGAGTGCTGCCCGCGGTGCTGAACATGTTCTTCTGCCGGCGGGTCGAGGCTTCAACGAGAGCTGAAAGGAGGCACTTAGAAGACTCAGCCAGATTGTGTTTAAAGTTTAGCGTTTAGAAGTTTAAGTCGGCAAGCCAAAAGACATGCAAGAGCCAAAGGCATTCAGAAGCCACGAAAGCCGTCCTCAGGCTGGCCGGTGGCGGCGAGCTTCCGAGCAGTCAGCAGCACGGAGATGAACGTGTTCAGCAGCACCAGAAGTGTCCGGGCCTTTGGAGCTTCACCAGAGACTCCAATATCCGTTAATTAAGGAATATACCTTAAATTAGAATAGGATCCCTAATATGATTTAAGGTATATTCCTTAATTAGGGGATATTGGAGGAGTCTCTGGGTACTCTGATCGCAGGCAGGGGGTGCTGGAGACGCACCAGGGCCCCAACGGCAAAGGTGACGATGTCTGCCTGATCCTTCCTCTTGAAGCCCAGGCAAGGAACACCTTTCCAAGAGTCGCACTCTCACCGCGATTCAGCGTCGGTCACCCTGAAGTCGAAAGATTTTCACAGTTTGCTGGTCCGGATAAGGAGCCTAGCCAAAGCAGGTTGGCGATCAAGTTGTTGCCGGCCTGAGGTTGAGACACCATCAGCGGGCGACCCCTCGCCAGGCTCTACAATAGTTAAATATACTATCATACCGTACAATCTACTGTATTATAACACGGAAACAATAAATACAGGCTCGGAGGCTCTGCTACGTCTGCACAAGACGGCAGGTATGCCCCAAAAGACGGTCACAGATCCATTGATGCACGAGTAGATTTGTTGGTCTGCTCATGCCTGTACAGTCTATGCGGGCGCTGATGCAGCGCATATGTTCGACTTATCATCGGATGCTAGGAGTATGTCGCAGGCAAGACCTCCCGAGCTGCGAACTCATTTCATCCAAGCGACACCCACCACAATACCCAGGCCAGCGGTCCTGAACTGTTCAAGAGGGCTTCTTGCTGTAACTCGGAGGGCATCAGCTCTAGCAAGCTCACCGAGCAAGATGGTTTTTGTCTCTGCAGATGTTTAACCAACAGACGCATGTCTCCAAGCTTCTGATAGGGCGAGGGTGGCTTGCCAGACTTTCTCGCATATCTCACGACGGAGCTCGTAAGCGGAATGTACCTGCGCGTGACTGCACAAGTGCGTTCTCGTAGCAGGCACTTAATTCAACAATATACACACGAGACTCAGCAACTGAGGCAGGCTCAGTACGAAGTAGAAAATGGCGATTGCGGAGAGGAACCCGATGCAAGCACAGCAAATGCGAGCAGCTAACTGGCCATGGGAAGTACCCATGTGCTCCCAAATAATGGAAGTCGGCTCTGATGTGACCTCGCGAATCTCGAGCTCCTGGCCAAGGTAGGAACGATCTCGACGCCGCGACTTCTTGGCATTCTCGAGCGAAGGGCTGCCATCGTGGAAAGAGAAAAAGGACCCAGTGCGTTGTAAGCCACGTGGCTGATCCCAGAGTGTAAAGAAGAGCTCCACATCCTCTCTTCTTCAACAACCAGGCCCCAAAAAAGTTCAAACTTTTTAGGATAGACCTAATATATAGGGCCAAAAAGTTTAAAGTTCTCCCATTGCCCATCTAAGCATCAGCTTCCTGCTTCATCACCACGAAAGCTTCGCCACTGCACTGGAAGCTTGATATCCATTCCTTGGTCTTCACTTCGCCATCGAAGAGACTCATTGAGCCGCCCTCCAGGACGGATGGTAACTTGCTGAGCATCCGATGGCGCAGCGTCCTCCGTCGATTCCTTGGCACTCCGAGTGCCGCTACAAATATCTCCTCGTGCCGCTCAAGATGCTCATCTAGCTTCTTCCGTATGCGCTCTTTCAACTCCCCGGTGTTGAAACCTAGGCAGTTTTGCTTTCCACGGATGTCGTAGCAGATCGAGACACCTTCTATTGGACGTCCGAACCTCTGTTCGATCCAGGCTTGAAGATCCACAGGGTTTGTAGCCTCGGGTGGTAGGTTGGACAGGCCGAAACAGTAATCCTCCATGCGCGTGTGGACTCGGTCGTAGGTCCGAGCTGCAGAAGCCTGCCAGCGTGCAAAGATGATCGATGCTGGCAGGATGGCAAGCCAAAGGAAAAGGGCGATCAAAGCTCGACGCTTGGCGTAGCCAGCAACTGCAGACTCCGATTGCTCACTTCCACCGTATCCGCACTGCAGAGTGTCCCAGTGCTGCATGCCAAAGAGACCCTCGGAAAATCGAAGAAGCGCCCAGCCAATAAATGCGATGGCTGCCACAAAAACCAAGTGGTTGTAGTAAAGAGCCAAGCCGACCCCTACAATGTTCCGCGAGTGCACATTGACGTTCAAGGGATACAGAGGAGCACGTGCGTAGTAAATCTCTTCCGTCCCACCTTTCTTGTCTGGCTGCGCAGCGCGGGTTTCTACATCATGAGGCAAGCAGCGCTCCCGATGCTCTAGGCCTTTTTGCAGCACTTCTGAGTTCTTGTTGCACGTTATGCTGAGGACCACGGCAACCAGTAGCAAGCAGACGAGTACGAAGCCAAGTATTGCGTAGGTCTTCAAGAGGAGCTTATCCAGCAAGTACTCACAGAGCCCATCATTCGTCAAAGCGAAGCCTTCTCCGCACCGCGTGCATCGCAACTGCACAGAATCGTGGCCACCGGTCTTCACCTCCACGTAATCGCACTCCTCGCAGCCATCCGAAGGGCAGCTCTCGCACATCTGCGTCTTCGGATTCGGGAAGGGCAGGTCCGGTCGGTAAGCCCCGCATTCTTGCGGCGGCACGCAGGCGGTGCCACAAGGAACCCGATTCCCGAACCCATCCCAGCTAGAGTAGGAGCTCAGCTCTAAGAACGGGCAGGTGCCCGGGCAGAGCTGCGCGATCTCGCTTGCGGAGGTACAGTTCGTGAGAATCATCCGCCTGCAAAACATCGAAGCGGCTTGGAACATGTCCGAGTCATCGCGCAGCATGAAGACCGAGCCGTCTTGCTGAAGAAAGCCACAGTCGGGCCATCTGCCCGGCTGTTCCTCCCAGATATGGCCCACTCCGACCCTGGGCTGCTCCTTTGAGGCCAAGCTGTGATTCCCAGAGCTCAGCCTCAGAGAAACCCCTTCAGTACCTGGCGGGTTCGAAAGTCGAAACTTCAGCCCCGATCATGAGAAGAAGCTCGCAAGCCCGCCGCCCCAAATAAAAATCTCCTCGGACCCCTGCAACTCCTCCGAACCCCGAATCGACCCGAACCTGGAGACCGCAGTCCGGATTCAACCCTTCAGGTCCCCTAAGCCCCTGCCCCCAAGGCCACCCCTTAGACAGGCCCCTGAAGAAGCCTGAACCCTCAGAGACGCCAATATCCCTTAATTAAGGAATATACCTTAAATCATATTAGGGATCCTATTGTGATGATTTAAGGTATATTCCTGAATAAAGGGATATTGGAGTCTCTGAACCCTCCGATACCTTTCGGCACATCAGCGGCGGCAGCAGCAGTTTGGCAGAGCAGGCTCAGAGACGCCAGGAAGCTCAGAAAGCTCGTCGATCTCCGCCTTTAGGGTTTAGGGTTTAGGGTATGAGTATGTAATCAGGTATAAACAACAGCACAAGTACGAACAACATGAAGTATTTGCTGCCAGTAGATGGATTTTGAATACTGAGAATGGCAATAACAGCAATCGTAATGATCGCGGTAATAATGCAGTATAGGAATTTCCGGAACCATAATACCAACAGCGTTCGTAATAATTTGATACAAGCATACCTATGCACAAAAGAAGTCAGGAGCTAGGGTTGAGAGATCTTTCGGGGTTCATACTTATGCACATATGATTGCAAGACACAGAACAATGCCAACCACAACACTACTCACCGAAGCATCCCAGTACACAAGAGGTAGGCTTTAAGGCTCAAGGAGACAGGAGTGTTAGTGTGAGTAACAGGTACTTGAACATGCTCGAAACCTTCTGGGAAAACATAATCATTACAATTATCGCAACAATCACAAGCAATCAGCTCGCGAAACTCCTAGGGTGAAGATACACGCAGAGGAGAAAACTGTTGACAGCGTTGAACCAAGACGCCTACCCTGTGAAGCGCGCCTGACCGTCATATGCGCCCGAGCATTTCTCTGCTCTCAAAGGCAGTCTCCAGAAGCCCTGTCCATGGCGGTCCATGTCCGCACGAATGCTTACACAGGCCTTGACAGAAACAACGAAATCAATCACGGCTGCCTAAGCTTAAGGGATACCATGGTCGAGCGATGATCATGCTCAACAACGTGATGCTAGCTGCATGTTTGCCAGAGTTTCGCAATCCTGCTGACGTATGAGCCAAGCTGGTGCACAAACGGATGATGTCTTGTCCCGAGAAAGGCAGAGCCCAAAAACAGGTCTCTCACAACTCTTACCCAGGGGCTCTATGCAGATTTTTCAAGCTAGACTTGCTGCCCCATCTGAGGCGTTTTGCGTAGCGGGGCCACTTCTGCGTCTCTTCCCTTCGGGAAGATGCAGGGTCTCATTACCGAGCGTGTCATACTCCTTCGCTAGTGATGCACTGAATTCCTCTGTGTGCTCCGGCAGCTAGTCGGGAGAGTAAAAAGGGGGCAGGAGGGCAGACAACCTCAACCTCCTCAACTGAGAAATCCTCACAAGACGGAAACGATAGAATGTCGACAACCATGGCGACTCATCTTGCATCTGATTCCCCAGCTGAGGTGGTTGCCAAACCCCGCACCCGGACAGCTGCTGAGCGTTAAAGGCTGGATGAGTGGTGCAAAAGGGTGCAAAACGACTGCACAGCAGCCCTTCGGTAAAGGCTTCGAATTGCAACTACAGTCCCATTTGGCCCGTGGCGAGCCGCACACTGAGCGTCAAAGTTGGCACCTGCGTTCCATTCAGAGGCATTCGACTCTCTCGCTCTCTCTGGCTCTCGCAGCCTGCTGCCTTTCGGCCAGCCCCAGGCAAGTACATAAAGCATCGGGGTAAGAAACAGTAGAAGCGTGAATCGCACTGTACATATTACAAATCCCGAGTCGTAGTAATTACCATGTAGTATGGAACCCTAAACCCTAAACCCTAATATACAGAACCCTGTCAAGCTGGTGCTGCGCTGAGGGCCGAACATCATAATGGTCTTGTCTTCGCTGCAAAGGATCTCCGCGGAGGAAACGACGTGGCGCAATGCAGAGACTTGTGCTTTGCCTTGCATGCTGGAGTGATCATTGCTGGTTAGTGTGTGTAGGGCTTAGGGTTTAGGGTTGAGGGGGCTACCCTTTAAAGGAACCCCCAAAACCCTAGTCTGATGATTCAGGCCCC